AAGTAAAATTATAATAAATTATTGACTAGAAGTAAGTACTGATATATAGAGACGACAGTAATGGGAGGAAATGAAAATGAAAAGAAATAGAGAGGAGTAAGGAAAAGAAAAGGAAATTGTCAAGAAAAAGAAAGGAAAGAAAAAATTTCATATCGTATGATTGAAATTTAAGTTTAATTTTTAGTTAATAGTTCATATAGTTTGTTCCATATAAAAGGAAAATTTCATATTATAGGATTGAAATTGAAGTTTAATTTATAGTTAATGATTCATTTAATTTGTTCCATTTATAGTCTTGATTTATTTCATATCAAATTTCTCGAAATTAATGTAGAATAAATGACAAATTGGTCAAATGGAAAAACATATTACTTAAAGAATTCTTAGAATGGTAGGAGAAGAAAAGGGAAGGAATTGATCTTCTAATTAAAGCGAAATTTGGGTTAAAAACATTATTATTTGCCAATTATATATATTAAGTGTAGTGTAATTAAGAATATGAATGAATTCATAAAAAATTACTAATATGGACTAAATATTGCACCCGTATATATATATATATATATATTGCCTAATTTTAAAATATTATATTAATTTAAATTCAATTGAATTTCAAAGATGAGTCAAATTAATTCTTGGTAGATGAAAAAATTTCACATAATTTAAAATAAGATAATATCATATGACCAATTAATTTACATAATCAATTCGAATGAATAAATATAAAATTTCTTTACGACTTAATTATTTTTAATTTGTTTGTTTTATTAATCTCCTTTCAGTAATCCTTTTTTTTAAGTCCTTCTGAAATTCTTATATTTATTAATGTTATAGAGAATTTGTACTCCTACAAAAGAAAGAGATTTAAACATATAAAATATTTTCAACATAATATAGTATATTGTTATTTTAAAATATGACCTCTTATTTCATTTAATTCATCACAATAATGCTTTGCTCAACTATATACATATGAATAGTTGGCACTTAAAAAGATATAAAAATATCAATATCATCTTATATATTCGATACTAACCTGAGATAAATATTACACACTATATCTTATAAATATTTTTTATAGCTGCGCGAAGCGCGGACAATTTCACTAGTATATATATAAAGGAGAATCATGACAAGGTGATGTTATACCTCTCTATAACTTTCATTTCTATTTTTTTTTCCTCCTTTTTTGGGCCTTTTTTCTTCATTCTTTTCATTAAATAATTTGTTTATTAATTAAAAAATTCAATCATATTTACTATTGTAATTATATGTAATGAGTTACAAAAAACATCCATCCTTTTACATTCTTCACTTAAATAACATGTATTTTCAACTCCCTTCTAACTATTTTATGGGTTATCCAATCTATAAATACCAATCATCTATGAAGATGTTGAATGTTCATTTTGATTTTTTCATTCTTTGTTTTTATTAGTATAGGTTTTTTTCTTCTTTTAAATTTTGTTTTCTTCATCTTTTTATTCATCAATCATGTATTTAACAATCAAATAAGAAGACATAGAAAAGATAATATCATGATATGACATTTACTTTGATGAAGATCATAAATATATTCTTCAAAGATTCATCACAGAGGCAAAGGGATGTTCACATTATTTGGTACAAGTTCAACAAAATAAAGAAGGAGGCTTGATTATCTTGGAAGATTCATGAAGACAAATTGTCGTTGTAGTGTAAAAGATTAAATGATTTCCAAACATTTTGAAGATTCATTGTTGTATTATTTTGATTTCAATTAATATTGTGAAAAGAGTCAAAATTACCCCTCAACTTTGTTTTATTGGTTGACTTTACCCCTGTCGTTAAAAACAAGTTATTTTTACCCCCGCCGTCAATAAACTTAACAAATATACCCCTCCTTGGATGGAAAGCCCCAAATCAATTAAAATTATTCAATTTTACTTAAATTATCCAATTTTAACCCGACCTGACCCACATAATGATATAACCCATTTCTTTTACCCAAATCAACTTTATTTTCCCCACCACCACCAAAGCCACCACCCTCTCCGAGATCTCCCTCACCACCACCGCCGAAACCACGACCTCTCCCACTACTCTACCTCCTTCAAGTTAGCAGCCCTATCAAGAGTCAACTTCTCTGCGCTCATTGTTGATGTTTCAGTGTCATATTTCATCCAATCTTTCCGAACATAATGTTATGTGGTTTATTTTCTGCTAGATTCATAATCTTTGTTTTCCTCCGTCATCTAATTGGCTTCTTTTCCAACAGGTATGTAATTGTTCGGGACATGACTGCTGTTGGTCTTGGTCTGAATAAATTCTGCTATGCTGGACTTATAGCAGCTCAAAAGAATAAGGAACATGTATGATGTAGCTTCCAAGGTGAGCAGCAGGTGCGTCCATGTGCTTTTACTAGTTTTCCATTTTTATTATATTTTGACTTATTTGATTTTGTTTTTGTTACACATCACTTCCTTACACAACTTTTGAAGAATTTTGAGGAAATTAAGTTGCTTAGGATCGATTTTCCTAGTGGGGAATTGGGTATTGATGAGGGTGCTTTGCTCAAATGGAAAGGTGGTGGTTTCAGCGGTGGTGGTGAAGGAGATCTCGAAGAGGGTGGTGGTTTTAGTGGTGGTGGTGGTGGTGGTGAGGAAAATAAAGTTGATTTGGGTAAAAGAAATGGGTTATATTATTAAGTGGGTCGGGTCGGATTAAAATTGGATAATTTTAATTGATTTGGGGCTTTCCATCCAAGGAGGGGTATATTTGTTAAGTTTATTGACGGCAGGGGTAAAAATAACTTGTTTTTAACAGCAGGGGTAAAATCAGCTAATAAAACAAAATTGAGGGGTAATTTTGACCCTTTTTCCATTAATATTATTCTATCCTCTTTTATTTCTTTTCATCTTGAACAGATTTTTTTTGCTAAAAGGCATGATTTCCTTTTATTCACCATAAAAGAGTAATATGGAACTCTACTAATTAACCAACATAGTAAAAAGCTCAATTAGCCAATTTTACTAAATTAACTTTGCTATTATTATTTTTATTGTTGTTGTTATTTAATATTTTCACAAAAAGTAAAAATATACAAAATGGTGTTATTTCACTTTAAAAAAAAAGAACAAGAGAAAGCACGGTGAAATTATTTTTTTTAATTTTTTTTTTTTATATTTCTCTACATAATTAACTTAATTTTAAATCAATAAAATGCTTCATACTATAAATTTAGACCATGTAGCAGAAATAAATGATGATGATCAATCTTGATTCCTCATAAATTTTTGGTACAAATTAAAACTCAAGTAACGATTCTGGCTTAATCAACCCAAAATAATTTTATTGTAATTTATTATTTATCATATTTTAAATGTCTTTTGTTACCTTTTCATTTTCTCCTACTAAATAAATAAAAGGAGAATATGATCCTACAAACTTAATTAGAACTTTAACCTTGTCATTTCTTAAAATTAATTTCATTAATTTTTCTTTCTTAAACTAGGTCTCATTTTTCATTATTATTATTATTATTATTATTATTATTATTATTATTATATATATATATATATATATATATATATATATAAATAAAAAAAACACAAATAAGATGATGTGACACATTTCTATGATCTTCATTTGTATTTATCTTTTTCTCCCCTTTTCTGGCCTTTTTCCCAAATTTAAATTAATTATTTTCTTATAAAAGTAAAATACTTAATTTGTTACAAATAAATATTTCATTAATAAAAAAATATTTATAACAAAGACTCTTGACATACCAATTAAATAGTAATAAAAATTAAAATTATTTGATCCATTAATTATAGATTTGCCGGCGGCTTTCTCTTTTCTTAAGCCCACATAGTATAACAATCAATATTATTTGAAGTCTTGTATTTATGTCTTTTTTATTTGTCCTTTTCAACCACATTTGTTTTAATATTTTTACCTTCATAACTCATTTATTTAATTTTTACTCATAATAATATTTATAATTCTCATATTCTTTACCTTTTCATATTCATAACAATTAAATATTAAATGTAAAAGTTAAGATACTTTATGACATTCCTCTATTTATATATATATAAATTTATATTTTTTGTTTCATGAATTTCTATCCAAAAATTTCCTTCATATTTATTAAAGTATCATACTCATGCTTGTGTTTGACTCGAAAAAGAAGAAAAAAACTCTCAAATAGTACAGGCTTCTGAGGTTGATATCGACATAAACATAAACAATATGTATTGATGTCATTTTTTCTTCTACTTTTGTAATTAATAAAATCGTAATGATTTGTGTATTGTATTTTTTTTATGTATCTCCATTGTACGTACATCTTAAGTTTAATTTTTATATGAATTTCTGATTGTTGTAACTCTATAATTTATATAGTTATTTATTTTTTAATTTAAAAATAGTATATTTATGTTATTTATTTTTAATTATAAATTGCAACAATAAATATTGTGTTTTTTCGCTTCTAATCACATGTAATTTTCTTATGTTCTTTTCGTTATGGATTCAAAGTGTACCTTTGCACATTTATAAAAAGGTGTAGTTATTTTATTTAATATCTTTTTTATGTAAGGAGAAACAAAAAGGTGTAAATTTTTTTATTTTATACATTTTTTATGTAAAGAGAAACCATTGAAAAATATTTAAATTTTTTGACTTACATTCACATATATTAAATATATATATTAGATACAAACATTACTATATATAAAATACCTCTTCTATTTATATTGTATTTAATAAATTATTCGTGTTTTTTTTTTTATCATTGTGTGAAACGCGGATGAGTTCACTAGTTATTTAATATTTCCAAAAAATAATCATAACTAAAACACGTAAAAACTCAAATCTCGCTTGTCAGAGTTTTGAAACCTCAACACCCTTATGTTGGGCCAAAGTTAATTTGGGCCGAGGTGTAACTGATCCAATTTACTGGGTTATTCCCCTCACGATTCCCAAACCTTCCTCATTAATTTCTTCCTGTTTTTGGAGCTCTCAAATCTCGATCAGATCCATCCCTCACAAATCACAAATATGGAGTCGAAAGAATCAAACAGAGAAGAATTATCATCAGCTAAAGCAGTTCTTGTTGGTGCTTTGGCTCCAGGAGTCAACGTCTGTATAGTTTCCTCCTTTGCAATATGCTTTCACTTGAAAATTTATTGATTCAAGTAGTTGAATTTTTTTTCTTCTTTTTTTTCGGATTCAGGCTCCTACTTGGAACACACTAAAGATGGCATTTTTGATGCTTGTTGTGTGTCTTGCTGTTATGCTGGGGTTGGCTTTTTCTTCAAGTGACTTCTCTTTGACTCTCCATGTTGCCTTCCTCTTTTTAATAACTGGAACCCTCTTTGTACTTCTTAGTAGGTATGTTGCGGCGATTTTACTTGTATTACTTCTTTTGCTTACATGTGAATATACTTCAAAATTGTTAACTAAGCTTGTATAATTCGATTACTAGATTTTGGATAAATAAGTAAAGAATCCTTACTTTTCCAGGCGAGTTTCCCGCAGTAAGTGATAAACTGTAGAATTCCAGGACCATATGAATGACTAGTTGATGCATTTGTTGAATTATTTCTTTGGAAAGGGAAGTTGATCTCTAGGAAAAAGAAGGGTTTTTTTAGACTCATTAGCACTAGTGGATGAATAATCTGCTTTAAGGTGTTTAATCCCCTGTGTATCATCTTCTTCTACTAGATGCAGAGAGAGAAGTAATCCATTTTCCTGGAGAGATAAATTGAAAAATTCAAGAGTACTGTAGACGAACTAAACATTAATTGTCGTACATGGTCTTGTTGCCACTTGGCAGTTTATTAGATTGTTCGTTAATGCATGTCGGACCTTCTTGTTACCTGGCACAGTAGTAGAAATGTTAGATTGGAAAAAAGTTCTCACTTGATATTCTTTTGTAGAAACTTAATATTCTGTAATTGTAATTATCAATTTTGAAATCTAAGAGTCTTTTGAATTTGAACAATTTTTTGGTTAATGGTTAGAAGGGTTTTAATTTGTTGAGATGTTGGACATGAATTTAATATGTTGATTGGGTATGGCGTAGAAAAGCATTTTGATCGTTGTGAATGAAAGTAAAGGACAAACCTTTAAGTTACAGATTGAATACTCGCTCGACTTTCAGCTTTTAGTTTACAATTGTAGGTTAGTAGCTGATCAAGTAGCTATGTTTACACTCTTCCATCTTGTAGTTTGTTGAGTCCAAATTATTTTATGCTCTCAGTCTCTCACAACTTGTCAAAGAAAATAGCTGTGAAGCTTGTGCTAGCCTTACAATCTTTCTGCATGCCAGCGTGAGCAGTCTGAAATCATGTATAAAATGGTATTTAGCTTCATCCAGTTCTGGAACTAATTCTGGCTCCTCAGTGCATCATCTATCGAGTTTTGAACTGTGCGCCACCAGCTCTCAGGAATCTATCAATCATCAGAAACAAGTTATGGAACTCATTTGGTCATAACTGTTTAACATCATGTTATGGTTTTGCGTATAAATCTGCTTTCAACTTTTTGTGGTAGTTTGATGTTTGAAAAACCGCTCTCTCTCTCTTTTCCACTTGTTTCCCACTGGTGCTGAGTGGCAGACCTGCTTTTGTCTACACTATACAGTCTGTGAAACTGCTTCTTACTCAACATAACATCCAGCTGTTTTCATTGTTAGTCAATTCAAGTTTCACTTAATCCTATGAACTATTATATTCTTCTATTACATGACTATAGGTGAATTTAATGCATAGTTTTTATTTGTCCCTTAGGTTTCTAGCAGAGACTGGGTTTGTTTCTGTTGAACATCAAATGGAGGAACTAGGCTTAGCACCCAGAGATGAAGATACAAGCAAGAAGACGAGTTGAAGCTTTTAAAATCAGATTTATCATTACATGATGACTTTTCCATTAAGATTACATTTTGCACGTTACAATTATGATGAGTGAAAGCTCAACCTTGAGCTATATATCTTGTCGGAAAAGCAAAAGATGGGGTGCCGTAGATCCTGTGCTCAATCTTTGCCATCCTCAAGGTCTTGTAAAACAGCTCTTTCAATGCTCCTTCGGTTCTTTGTCCTTCGACTTCCCTTTCTTCTTCTTAATGAAGCAGAAACACGAACAGCAGGGAAGCTGCAACAAGAATTTCATTTTTCTCTTGTTTAGTATTCACAAATGTTACTGAAAATCGTTATGTATATATGGGGGGTCTTCATGCCCTGATCTGTATTTTTTTATTTTTTATTTGTCCTGTGATTCTATTCCCTATTCCCTACAGATATGAAGATGCCTTTCTTGGGAGCCATAAGCTAACCAAGTTGATGTATGCCTGAGGGAAAGGGGTTCCTTTTGCTTTCCTTTCTTTGAAGGTAAGACTTCTTAATGCTAACCTATCTTTATTTTTAAACAATGCAAAAAGCTCCATTTCCCTCTAACGAAAAAGGAAAAGAGAAAAGGAATGCCACATTAATGAATGCAAATGTATCTTTTGGTTTTTATGTTGCCAGAAAGTTTTTGGCCTCTACAATATTGACGTACATGGTTACTTTCCTCATTAGTTGGGCCTCCAATATGAGCTATATGAGAAAATCTTTTTTCTGAAAGCCACTTTTAGGACTACTGTTTAACTATAACCACTATTTGTGATGTATTTAAATTTAGTCACACTTCTCTTACTGCAACTATCAACCAGTCACTGCTGCCTGCTGGTGGTGTCTTTATCTCGGAAGTTTGAGAATCAGCTCAAAAGAAATCTCTTCTTATGATTCTTCTAACGACTGTATATTTTGATTTGATCATGTTCCTCAAAGAAAGAAATATAACTTTCTTATAAACACAAGTTTGTTTGTGGAAAAGCTAATTGAAAACTAATGTTTACAAAGTAGTAAGTGGCGAGAACAAGTATCAACTGGATAAATTGTCTTTCAAAGTATACAGGGCGCAAGTAGACACCCCATATGAACAGACTGGCCGCCTCTATTGCAATCCAGGGAAGCCGTTACTAGAATAAGATGTCCAACACAGTTGAATTTCACATTTCAAACTTCATGATACTGACCTGAACATGTTTGGGACTTTTGAGTACTTTGCAAATGTTGGGCAAGTCTTAAACAGTAGCCCTGAAGTGGTTACTAATGAAGTTAGCCCAGCTCTTTTTTTTTCCTTCCGAATTCAACCATCCGGTATCCCCATTTTAAGGGCTCAAATCCGGGATCTGATTAAAGGTGGATGGATCCAACCTTGTGCTTCTATAGAAATCAGTGTTATGCTTTGCATATTGTGGCCTCTATGGAAATTTTTTTTTTTAAAAAAAAACTTGTTTTCCTTCCGATTTCTTTTCAAGTAACCTTCAACTAACGTCCTACAAAAAAAATAAAAATAAATTAAAAATGAGTCTTGACTCAAACTTATGAACTTATTATCTAAATTCAGACAAATAATATGTTAGTCTTAGAAAATAAACTTTTCAGATTAGCCATTTAAAATATACTTTCCAAATCATATATGCGTTGGAAAAAATAGAAAGAAAGAATAAATAAAATAAAATAAGCATGCTGCATGATGGATGTTTTTTAGTTTCCAATTAGTAAATTGACCATTTCACTGAGACGGACAAGGAAAGGAAGTAAACACTTTGAGTAATTCCTAATTCTTTTTGTAAGAACAAACAAAGTACATACTAGTTTTATTTGGTTTCTAGTGAAGATATGTCTCATGTTTGCAAAGGAATTGATGTATGCTAAGTTACCTATTTATCCAGATAACTTGAGAGTCCATTGACACAAGACTGTTTTAGAACCAACGTTGTTTCCAGATTTACCTATCTATTTAATCTTTAAAAAGTCTTTCTAAGGTGATAACTTATCTAATTACTTCATTTGATTTTATTTTACGGCGTAGTCTTACAATCAATATTGTTGTACGAAGATGATAAAGATTAGAGTTGGAATCCTTAACAGAAGTAAAAAATTGAAGTAATTTCTGGTCATCTGTCTAAAGTTTTGGTGGACAAGAGTTATCACACACTTTTACTTATGGGAGGATGCAGGTGGTGGAATAGCCAAGGGACATGCAAGTTAGTCCTGTTGAATATTTTTGATGGACATAATCGGTTGCTCATAACTTGAATCTTATTATTATAAAATAAGGACCCGCTTTGATCTTACAATTCTTACCCTCAATATTTCTTGCACCTACCCTCTTTACTTGAGCACTCACTCTTGTTTTCTTACTTGCTTGTTTTCTTGTTGATTGCTTCAGCAACACTGTTTACTTGAGCGCTTACTCTTTATTTGAGCACACATACTTTATTTTAGCTTTACATACATCACAAATGAACCACCTTTATTTATATGTGGTGATAGAAAAATCTAGCTTAGGATATTTGCTATTTCATTCTAGAATGTTCCTCCAACTACTTAATTCTAGAACTAACATTTCTAGAATATCTCTAGACTTTTCAATGTAGAACACTCATTCTAGAGATCTTCCTTCATTTCTTTACAGCTGTCGAATATTTTAGATTTTTCTTTGACTTGTCTTAGATATTAATTAAGTTGGTGATGAATTCTTAACAACTCCTGCACCACCATTACCCAAAAAAGAGTTATCTTAGAGGTAGAAAATATCAGTTTTTAATAAAAAAGGATAATCAGAATGATATTCAATATTTAAATGAAAATTTTCGAAATATAAAATACTGATACCAAAATACTTAATTACATATGAAATCCATACATTACATCATTATATTGATAATAATTAATTAATTTGAATATAAACTAATAAAATACCTAAAATCATTCAAACTAAAGTTTCTGACCTTTACTTTACTACTAAAAATAAACACCCCTAGTTGGATATATCTTTTGACACACCTAACTTAAAATTACTAATATTTAAATTTGAAAAAAAGAATATTGTTCATTAATCTTTATTTTTTCAAAAAATATTTTGTTCATTTATATTTTGACTCTAGCTTACTTACCATTATTGAAGTCTTGGATAGTTGATGGTCCTTCCACCAAAATATTCTGTTAAAAATTGCGTAGTGTTTAGACAGAATAGACTTACTTACCACTTATGTCTAAGTGAATACATGCATGACTGGAGCTGATGAAAATCTTGGGTTATTGTAATTTGACTAGACCATTCTGACAACTACTAAGATTACCATTAGAAATTAATAAATCCCATGAAGTTTAGTAGGCAATTCAATAACTTGATTAAAAAAGGTACCTAGTTAACAACAATTTAATTTCTTACCTAGGGTATATCATCATATCAAGTCTTTGTTGTTGCATTTTTGTGGTAACAATGTTACATAATCTCAATGCCTTGAGATTTATTAAAATATTTCTCATTTTCTGGTAAAAGGGTACTTGTCACCTCCCATCAACATGAACCAGGTAGTTCTATTAACCAAGGTTAAAATAGATGGGAAGAAATTACATAGTGTTATTTTGATGGGAATTGAATTTGAGACTTCATGGTGCTCAACCCACTTCATTGACCATTAGGCCACACTGTTGATGCTTTTTCTTAGATTAAGCGTTTGTTTGACATTGCTGCTAAAAACTATTTACAAGTATCAATGCACTTTTATTATGAAGATTATTTTATAGAGAGAAATTGTTTTAAATATCTATTATAAATTTTTTAATTAAATTTTTATTTTTATTAAATTAAATATACATATTCGAATTTTCAATCAATATTATACATAAATTAAAAAAAATTAAATATTGATGTTATATTAAGATGACCATTTAAATATAATAAAAAAATACAAGTAAAATAAATTTTAAAATTATTCCACAAATTAAATCACTACATACATAAAATTCACCACAAAAACATATAATGTCCTAATTTTTTTCTTTTTTCTAATTCTACAAAATAACATAAAATAATATAGAAATATAAAATATAAAATATAAGATATAAAATAATAATATATAAACATAAAATTAAAAAATTATTATAAAAAATAAAAATAAAGTTTTTTAAATGAAACTTAACCAAACATAGAGATATGCTAATTAATTAATAAGTGATATATTAGTGAATATATCATGGATATTTGGTCTTTAAAAAAACAATTTTCTGCGTAGAAGCAAAATTTTTTAGCTTCATCCCAACAATAGAAAATTGTTTTGCTTCCATTTAAAAACAGTTTTGCTAATTTGCTAAACACCTTAATTTTTTTTAGAAGTACTTTTTTTCTTCTCAAAAGAAGTGTTTTTGGCCTCCCAATGGCAGCGCCAAACAAACTCTCTAAGTAGCAGGATTTAAACTAAAAAGATTTTTGACCTTTGAAAATAGTTATAGCAACAATTAAACCAATATATGGTAAGTAATTAGCAATAATCAAATCTAAATCTAAATTAGATCACATAATCTCAAGTATTTCAAATTTATTCAATACCCTTATAGTTTTTTTATTGATTGGTAATTCCTTTTTCTTTCCTTTTAAAATAATTAGTTTAAGGGAGAAAGGGTAAATATATTCCTCAACTTTACAATTTAGAGCGAATATGTCCTTTGTTAAAAAGGTGATGCATATATACTCTCGTAGTTTAACAAATGGTGCAAATTTATCCTTTTTATTAATAGATCTATATTTACTTGGACTATAACAAAAATAGCTTTTCGCACAAATGTGCACATTAATAGAGAATGCTAATGTCTTTATCAGCATTAGTTAAATGCCATTTGATACAATGTCCCTATATGCTTTAGGGACATTTACAAAGAGTGTTAATTGCCTTTAGAGAACATATTTAGCGGCAATTAAGCTATTGCCGCTAAAGATCATTTTTGGTGTAGTGCTAGTTGTTTAATTCCAAAAAATGTCATGTGGCTTTAAAAAATTAGTTCACCTATTTTCTTTACCTCTCCAAACTCAACCCAACTAATAAAAACTCAATCCCTCTGTTATTCAGTCATCACCCCATAGTCGTGAAGATGATCTAGTTTAGTCGAACAAGTGTCCTAAGTCTTAAGTCATCGGGGTGATGATTGAATAGAAGAGGGATTGAGTTTTTTTCATTTGAGTCATATTTGGAGGGATTAAAAATGGTTGAGATAACTTTTTTAAGTCATGTGACATTTTTGGAACTTAAAAACCAATTTTAGGATTTGGTTTTTAATTCAATAAATATAGGTCTATTAACGATAAGGTAAATATGCTCCATTTGTTAAAAGACAAAGGTATATATGGATCACTTTTTTAATGAACGGCTCCAAATCGAAAAGTTAAGGGGTATATTTGCCCCTTTTTTCCCTTTTCTTATAATAAGTAGGCCGGTAGTCTAAATAAGATGGTAAATACTCCATACAAAATTAAAACACTGATAATGTAATCATCTTTTATACTGTAAATTTTTTGTCCTAAATGAAATTAAAAGATGGGGGTTGTTTCTTGTTGAGAATTTATGAGTTTTAAGCATCTTACATGGAATTCAGTGTAGAAATTGCTTAGAAACAGAAATGGTATTTGCAGAAATTAATGAATGGTTGTCCAACTGTGAGAAAAATTATGGGATTACACTAGGTCTGTATTGTTGTTTTTGTCCAATTGTGAAAAAAGTCCTATGTTGCTCAAACTCTTCAAAGATGTCAATGGATGCGTGGCGGATTCTCCAAACATAGTGTATTTTTGAAGAATCCAACATGGTTGCAGGATCGAAAGTGAAGAGTCCGCACCACTTAGAAAAAGTCTATTAAACTAGCTCAAATTTAAGAAGGTTCACTAAATTTAACCGTCACCATTTATGGTTTGAAGCTTTGGAGGTTAAGTGTTGTAGTAAAGCCTGTTGTCTGTTTGTCACCTTAAAAACTCTCACTTGTACAAACAATTAATTTCATTTTCCTCTTTTGATTCCTTCTTAGAATTGGCTTGTATTTTGACTTTGCTTCTTGTATTCATTCACACCTTATTTTAATTTTCTTTCTTTCTTCATTTGTTGTTACTATAAAAAAGGTAAAATATCCTAGGATAAAAAATCTCAGGTACTTCCTCCCAACTTTCAATGACAAAGTGAAAAGGAACAAAACTCAACAGGAATATTTTGTTCTTTTCTTTGAAAAAATAGAATAAACAATGCATATGAACTTATTACAATAACAATAACATACCTAGTGAAATGCATATGAATTTTAAAGAACAAAAATTCTATGATAAAGAAAATGTTTAACAAAGAAAAATGTGGAACTTATTTACTCATTAAAGCGTAATTATAAGAAGTAAATCGTACATTTTTATCTTTATACATAGTGACACACATTTATTAAAAGATACTATAATTTCGATAAATAGAAATAAAATTTCAGTGATTATATGGTTTGGTTAACAACAAAATTAGTTTCTACCTCCCACCCCCACCCCGGATACAACATTACAAAAAATAGAGTCTTTACATCAAAAATAACAAAAAGAAAGAAAAAAGGGTAAAAAGTTTAAAAATAAAAATGAGAGAAATAAAATGAAAAGGGAGAACAAGCTTTCTCTCTCTTCTCTTCTCCCTTTGAATCCAATTTATATAATATATTTTCAAAAAATTAATTATTAATTATTAAATATTAAAAATTAAAATATCAAAAAGAAAATATTTTCTTTTCTTATTTTCTCTTACTTTTGCATGGTATGTCACTTACTAAGTTACTATACTTACATAGCTTTTGTTTTTTATTTCCACAATCTCATTCTCTCAATTCAACTCTCTCTCTCTCTCTCTGCATTCTTCTTTGTGTAATCTAAGTGGATTTTGATTCTTGAGACTCTTTCTTCATCTTTCCAATTGTTCTTGCCCAAGTTTTCTTTCCCTTTCTTTTTTGTGATTAATTAAGGCTTTGCTTTTGATGATCATGGCCATCATGGCCAGTTTAGAGGCTCAACGCTCGTAAGTTTTATGTGTTAGATCACTAGTTAATGTATAGTATAATGTACCATCCTCAGTTTTTTTATACTTATATTTTAATGAATGATACTCTTGATAATCTTTGCCTGTCTACTTTTCTTTGATTTTGGTTGAATGTGATTTTTTCCTTTTGTTCGACTGTTCTTAATCACAGTTTTCCCTTTTTTTGTTTGTGTTTTTTTAGGCTTGAACTTGCCATTCTCGATTACATGTCTAAAAGAGGTTTCCACCGGACTAGTGAGGCATTCTCCAACGAAATTCATACTAATCAAAATCTTGTCGGTAAGTAACTGTTTTTAATGAATTTTATTCTTTTAATCAGATGCTCAAAACGGATCTATAATGAATTAAGATATGTGTTTTAATAATGGTTGTTGTTTACCTGAAAGAGTCGTAAAATTCTTATGCTAAGTTAGTTTGGTAATTCTTACTACATATGACCGTATGGTGGATTGTCGATCTGTTGTTTTTGAAAATTGTGTTAATACGTTGTAATTACATAATGTTTGATGTTTTTATTGTATTAATTGTCCTTCACTAGCTTAAAGAGAGATATGTTGATGGAGTTGGAGTGATTTGATATCAAGCTTGGTGTAATGTTTTTTGATTTTGTGGTTCGTTTCAGCCATCAATTCTCCTCATGAAGCATTTCTGCAAGCGTGGTGGGGTAAATTTTATGAAGCATACAATTCTAGGTTTCCTGACTTTCCTGTATTCGATGTCGAATCCTTTGATAAGGTGTTACCTGTGGACCTTTTCTATGCCCTGTTCGTTCATCTTTAACTGGTATGAAATATTGCTAACTAAATGTTTAATTTTTAAATTCTCAGGTTGCACAAAGTGTGAACAGTGTTGTGGGTGATAACTATCCTGCAAATCAATCATATGCTTCTGATCTTACAGGTGCAAACGTATCTACTGTGATGCCAGAATCCAGCAGTCCTGATATTATGGACCCTGGCCTTTCAGCTTTGTTGTCATCTTTTGATGCCAGTTATCTGTCACTGGATTTATCTCCTCAAAGAGACATGACATCAGGCTTACACTTACCCGAGATGAGTGAAATGGGTGACATGCTTCCATTGGCAAGCAATGCTGGGTAATACCATGTTATGTTTATTGTTAAACTGTTTATTTTTGCCACATTTTAATACAATGTCTGCCTAGTTACTTCAACGAGGATAAAGGTTGAGCCTTTAATGCGATGTGGATTTTGTTCTCCTTAATTGATGTGATATCACTGTCTTAAGCTTCTAAGGCAACAAAAGAAGATTGACCAAAATCACGATCTTATTTTGTCTGTGTCATGCTATTAATTATGACCTTCTGATATGTGAAATGTGAAATGTGAAGAGTTTCTTGCAAAACTTGGCTATTAAGGGATGCTCGCTAGTTTAATAACTAGAACCACTTGTTTGGCCTGTAATATGAGATAGATTTTTCACATTATCTTGATAGTCCAAACATTTTTTGTTTATGAAACCATTTCTTTGTTTATGGAGTTTGCTTATCAGAATCTTCACATTTTCTATGTTGTATGTCCATATCCTTCAGCTATCAAATGCAGCAAATGCCAACTGTTCCTGCAGAGTGGAATGCAAGAGTACGTTTACATTTCCCCGTACATTTGCAAGATTTATAAAAAATAATTAGTTGAAAATAATTGACTAGTTTTTATTCTTTCCAGGTTGACATACCTGGTGCAAACTTGGGAGGACCTATGCGAATGGAAACAAATCTTCATGCCGCTACAAACGCTTTGCCTGATTTACCAGAACTTTCTGATGCAGGTTTGTTTGTAGTTTAGCTTTAATATTTTGCATTTAGTTGGTATAAGTTTTTGTCTTTTGCATTGATAATGTTGAATGTTTGAACATTATGATAATATGCAAAAACTTTTAGCATAAACAATCCATTAGAAGGATAAATGTGCATATATTGAAGAGGACTGGCTGACTTTTTAATGTGTAGCAAATTAAGAGATGCATATGTAATCAGATTAAAAATCTTTCAATTTTTTCTGATATATTGAAAATGTCAATTAGGTTTTGCTAATCTACTTGTTAGCTATCAGTCCCTCCTGTACAAATTAAACACTCCTCTGTTCTAGTAGGAAACTAATAACAGATACTCTGCTGCTCTTGCTATCAGGCTCTTCAACCAACTGATTCTGAATGCATCTCCATCCAAATAAAGATGTTGATATTTTGAGAAAGTTGCTACTTTGTTAGTTACTATAATTAGGAGGGAATGTCGTGCGAAGAGAGAGTCACCTATTATCCTTAAATAGGATGAAGAGACATGAATAATCTGTTACTTCTTGATAATACTGAGTGAACCTTTGATGCTCGTGTAATACCAGCTTTATCCATGAGTACCCCCTGAGTCTATTGTGTTGAATAACTTCTGATGCAAACATTTCAAAAGATATTAAAGGAGTATTCAATGATGGTGATTGTTTTCCCCCAAATTATTAAATGCTTGTTGCTATTTTGTGAATCAAATTGGAGAGTTGGGAGAAAAAGCTCTTCTTTTGATAAGGAGGAGAAGAATCTCTTCAAGAAGTTGTTATTGCTTTTGCTATTGATGGAAAAAGGACGCAATACTATTGCAGTGCACAGGTCAAAGTGTACCATGACCATTTAGATGTTTTGTCTATCTAGCTTTTACCCATAAAGTAATGGTACATTGTTGGATTCGCATGAGGAGCATGAAGTTTAAGTTTGAGGTTAGAGTTACATCTAGAATGAATGAATGATGCATGATTGAAGCTATAGTGCTGATGTTTTTTTATTTTGACAATACAATTTATCCTTGTTGTGTCATACAATAAATTAAATTGAACTCTTGAAAGTATTCTTAATAGATTATGAAGGTAAATCCACATAGGGACGTAGAAGAGTCACAAGTTGTGATATATATCAGGTAATGAATATTCTATTAGAAGGTTATTAATATTGCTTGATACAAAAGATGAAGCTGATGAGGTGCATGGTCAGTCTCTTAGTTAAACTTCTATAGGCTAAGATTCCTCACGGTCGTATTAGGATGGATAATTGACCATTGTGGCTTGAAGTAACCTTTAACAGACGGGATAGGTTTATTTGGGTAAGTGATTTGTCTTAGATCTTTTTGGATTCGCTGTGTGCTGGACCAGAATGCATATCATTGAGGAAGTTTCTGTAATTCAAGATTCAGTTGAAAGGGAAAACAGGAGTAATGATTTTTCAAGGGATGGGGAATACCTTGTTGGCCTGTTAGATATCTTAAGGTGGATACGAAGGAGACTTATAAATGGCTGGCAAAAGGGAAATAGATCACATTTCAGTTCTGCTTGGATTCCATAAAACTTACCAGTCTTCCCTATTTTAAGCTCAGAAAACACAGGTCAAACTCCATACGGAAGTTTTTACAGAGATACCTGCTCTACTGTCACTTCAGTGCCTGTTAGTCAGTGGTAAAGAACCAGCAAGACCTTATCAGCAAAGAGAAAGGGGAAGGATCCACCTAAATGAGAAGCTTGACTTTTTAAGGTCCTTCCCACTGTCTCATGATATCTCATAGAGGAGCAAGAATGGTTTAAGAGCTGCCAAAGACTTCCCAACTCTTCTTTTTATAATTGTGGTGTCCGGGCCAGCTTGTGCGCACCTCGATTAATTCCACAGTGTACCTGGTACCTCACAAGATTTCTCAACTTGGGACCTGACGTTTATGTCGTTAAGCTAGAAAGGATCCAAAAGGAAACTCCTGTCACAATATCCGTCCATATCTTGTCATGTAGCTGATCTCTCTTTCAAACAAGCTCAGATAATGAAGCTCAGCTTGAAGCCATCATAAAGTGTCTAATAGTTGTTGTCCTTAACCTTGATCAAGTACAACATTTTCTGAAATATTTTCCAGTCAAGTTAAGTTATTTCAAAGTTTACTTGTCTGTGAGTGGTCAGTTATCATTTAATCAAGGTCCTTCTGATTTCACCAAGGTCAAATTAGAAGCTCAAAGTATGTCTACGACTTTACTAGTTGTCGGTATGGAGAAATTCTTAGACATCCCATGATGAATTCTGTCTTCCCCTTTTAATTTTTTTAAAGAGTGAAAAATTAATGTAATACATGCTAAAGCGGAAACCTTTTATATTTTGCTCTTACACAAGTCTTAAATAAATATGCTCAGCCAATAAAGGCTTAAATGTTATTCTGTATCGGAAAGGTAATTGTGTCTTCTGCTACGAATTTTGTAACAACCATAATTTTGAATCAATAAAGAGATAATGGATTCAAAGTGACATTATTTGTGATTAGCTTGACCAAGATCATATTTTCAAGAAAATGGTCATAAAACAAACTTTTATATCGCATCCTTGTGATATTCATTTGGGTTACTTGTGACACAACAATTTTATTAACAAATCTCCAATCATGCTCTTTAGCATGAATCACATTATGGGATATTTGAATGGTTAGATGCAGCACAAGGTGTCTTCCTCAACATGTCAACTCCTTGCTCATAACTAAGGGATCCTGCACATCGGCATTCACTGCGTAGCTTCATAGGATTTTCTCATTCATCTTAAGAGATTGTTTATCTTATCATCAATCTACAACACTAGTTCTAATCAAAGGGGCCTACTTTCTACTTAAGTTTGTTCCAAATGACCTTGAACTTGTTGCCTTACATGTAAAGTAAGTTTCTTGTTCTTTTAAAATTGAAGTAAGTTAACAATGCTACATATTGTTTTTAAAGTGATGTGACGTTCCATCTACTTCTTACCATTTCAAAGTGTTTTTTCTTTTAAAGTAGTCTTAATATGGTAATTACTCAAGTATCTTAGTCTTACTAACCACACTATTCATTTTCGAACCAAACTACGTAGCTGCGTCAACTTTGTTGAGAATATAATTAAGCAAATAAAACTATGCTCTCTCTAAAAACTTAAGCTTTTAGATGAAATAGTCACACACTTCAACATGACATCGAAGCCTATAGAGGTCCTAGCCGCAGCCTATCATCGAAAAGAATTTCACGTGCTTTACCCATGAAAAAGAATTAGACCCACACGTGAGGGGGCGTGTTGAGAATAATTAAGTAAATGAAAGTATGCTCTCTCTAACAGCTTAAGTTTGTAGATGAGATGATACACACGTCAATAAGTTTGAATGTGCATAAAAAGCTTTTCTCTTTATCCTAGGAATCCTAACTTGGAATGCAACTCATGGAAGCGATAATGGCTTGGAATAGGGTTTTTTTTTTTTTGGGGGGGGGGGGGGGGATAGGGTTTTTTGGAGGAGAGAATGCTTGTAGGTTGGAGCTTTTTATATCATATACTGATCTTAAAGTATAGAATAGAAGGTTTTCCCTCTTCACACTTATGTGTGTTTGGAATATTTTGAGGTTAGAGCTGACAAAGAAGTATATTCCTACAAGTAGTCCTTGTTTATAAAAGAGTTTATAATGAGAATCAACTGAAGCGTATATGAACAAAGTCATTTTTAGTGAGACAAATGAGCTATGGTTTAGGTTAGCTCTCATTCGAAGAAATTAGAAACAATAATTAGTATAAGACTAATTGCCTTTAATTTACTTTTAATAGAAATCAAAGATATCAAGTTAAGAATTAATCTTACCTCTTAAATAATCGTTCTTATATGGTTGGAAGATAAATCCTAGTTACCACACACAAAGGTGTAAAGAAGGAAAACCTCTCAAATAATAATAATCGTGTCTAATAAAAATAACAAAATTCACCCCTATATATAAGACAAACATATCTCAAATAGCATGAGATTTAAATCCTACTTTTATGGAAATAATAACTAGGAAACTTTAAACTAGGAAAGCATGTAAAAAAATTAGTTGTCGAGAAAAAGGAAAGAAATGCTAAATTTCCAGCAAAACTCCCACGCGACTTCAACACTTTTTGGCATGCAACTTCAGCATCTTTTGGCCTTAAACATTCTGCACTTTCGGCATGCAAATAAGCTCCTTTTTGGGCTTCTCTTGGGGTCCATGTGGGACTCTTCTCTTGGGGTCCATGTGGAACTCTTCTCTTGGGCTCCATGTAGCCCATATTTTCCCCCTTTTGGACTTAGACTTTGACTTGATTATGAAATCGTGTAGCACTTAACCCACTTTTCATCATCATTCTTGGGCTTCTCTTCCATGATACGTATCTTCTTGATCTCTGATTGAAGCCCGTGTCAACTTTAATGCAAGTAGGCCAACGTGGATGCTATCGATGGTGTTGCTCCAGAATGATAATTTGGTAAGTTGTCACTTAGGACCAGTTTGACCATAGATTTCCCAAGTGAAATTTGGAAAAAAAATTAACAAATAGTGTTTGTTCATATAATTTGCCATTATTTGGCAAATAACCCAAAATTCCCAAATACTAGAAAAAATAGTATTTGGGAGCTTTTAAAAATTCATATTCTACACCAAACTTTTATTTTTTACAACAACACCCTCTATAGCAGTTGTTTGCTTTGTCTACTTCACAATGTAATAAAGTCGCTTTGTCTACTTCACAATGTATGGAATGATGCTTGTTGCACTCAGTCCGAACTACCACATTGCTCCAGTGTCATGTACACTACTTGCCATTTGCTGCTATGATGATCCAATTGACTTGTTGTGGAAGTCATGAATCTTGTTACATCAACGTTTCTATCTTGCTATGTAATACAAACCTATGGTTAGTTTTGGTAGTGTTTAAAACTTATGGGTATAAATCACATGTCTTGATAAAGTGAAATATGTTTCCCAAATATTATGGCCAAAAACATGTCATCAAAAATATTATGGCCAAACACATGGTGAAATTTCACTCAAATAATATTTGCCAAAAATATTTGGGAGTCAATGGACAAACGCTAGCTTAGAATGATACATTGGTGAGTCATGCTACCTTGATATGACTATTTGTGGTAAGACCTTAATCATTTATTCTTTTACTAACGTAAGTTTCCAAATTGAGTCACATACTTGGGATTATAAATACTAGCCCAATACGACGATCACTAGTATGATTTTCACTATGATTCTTTAAGCTAGTGCTTCCATATCACATGTGCGGCACCTGCTTGCCCAATACGAGACAAGTAAGGATGTTCAACCTCCTCAAAGAAGAGATGACCTCGGTACATCCTTAAATTGCCATTGTTCGAGTTCAGATCAAAGGAAAGGAATGAAGATGGTGGATTGATGACTGTCATTATAGCCTTTAAAAGGCCTCACGTAGAGCCAACATGACTTGCTACATACAAGTATCTCCAATTCAAGATTGCTAAATATGAAACCCTGCCCATCTAGCTAACATTGAAAAAAGATTCTTGAATGGCAGTTGTTTCTATGTGATTCTCTTCCTAACCTAGCCAGGCCACATAAGCACCACTTCTGATGGAAATGACTTGTGGTATAGATTTATAAATGTGACTTGCATGGGTCTAAGGTGACTCTTGTTAATTAGTTATCAAATAATACTTAGTTGTCCAACTAATTAAGTATATAAGCGGGCCACATTTATTCAAACATACAACTCAACTCGCTCAACCTTTGCCTGTTTATTTAACAATTCCGGCATGTGTAACCTTAAGGCGTACTCATATATCGAAAATAATTATTTTGACATAACTCAACTCGCTCAACCTTAAGAGTCATCTTTAGTATTACACTTATAGCAAACAAAAACCATTACATATTTATTAAAGATGAAAATAGTTCCTGATAGAAATTTATTATACTACATCTATATGTGCATGTGAGTTTTAGTTTGGGCTTGAACTCAAGTTCAAGGTTGTTAATTCACTTGTTACTATATCGAGTCGTTCTTGAACTTGTCTACATATATTCGAATTGAGCTCTGCTCCAATTTGAAGCTAGTTTGATATCTGAGCTTGAGTTTGGGCTCAACTTTATAATATAGCTCAAGGATAAACAACTGAGCCCGGCTTGATCAAACTACACCTGTAATATCTATAGTTGATTCCCATTCCCTTTGTGATTATGCCAATGGGAGATTACCTTTATTAAAATCTTTACAACTATGATTATATATGACACACTTCCCCATTTTGGTAAAGATGCATGCTGCTGATTGAAGTTTGAAAAGGATGAACATATGACAACTTAGGTATACAATCCACCAAAGCAAGTATGTGGCAGAGGCATTCAGTAAAGTTCTGAAAATAGAACTTTGATACTATGCACTTCCCCTCTGCATCTTTTTATCTTTTGGTTTTTGACGATGATACTGTATGTGCAATTAATTTCCGTTCACTTGCTGACCAACATTTAATTATTGTGGTTCTTAGTTCTAGTTAGTTCTAGTTTCATTTTGAAGTTCGATTCATTATCAATTGGAAGTTGTCACAGCAAAAGACACTAGGCAAACTAACATGGAAGGATGTATGAAATAAACAAACAATCTTCAAAACTTAGATTCAGCAAAGGAAAATAATCAGTGTGATGAGTGCTCTTCATTACATCATTTTCTCTTCAGAATAAACACCATGAGAAGTTCTTGCAGTGATCATATAGATGAAATTTTAAATTCTTCCTAATGATAAATTGTACAATGTGACCAAGTGGCTCGGAATTGAGGCTTAGTCGTTGTTGTTGTTGATATATTGTACAATGTTCCGTCAGATTAGTAAATCTGTTGACATTTTTATGCAAGACATCTCCTTATCTTTCTTTTTTAAATTTTAATTTCCTTTTGATCTTCCTTTTGCATTGTACTTGTAGATATCCTTATCTTTCCTTTTTAAATTTTAAATTTCCTTTTGATCTTCTTTTTGCATTGTACATGCAGGGAACAACAAATCTCTCCAACAAGCATCTCATCAAGGATGGCCATCTGTTGTGAGTATCCTAAACTTTTGCATCAATAGAAATGTATAGTCCATTATGATGTTTAGGTTCCGTCAACTTTTAGTTCATTCATTCCTTTTATATCCAACCCAGGACGTTGGCTCAGTTCCCCCTGTCATTAGCCATCAAGCTGTGCGTCCCAGTGTGATAGTGCCAACTCGAAAGGAACAGTTCCCGAGAAGTACATCCTTCGCTCAACAGAATGTTTTACCAAGTGTGGCAGTTCAAACATGGGATAAGCTCAGACTTCCTGCCCCTGCAAGTTCTGGAGATCTTTTTTGTATGCTCACTCTAGCTGACTCAAGTGTTAAAGATGCAGGGGTAAGTTGAATACTCAAGTAACCATCTCGCTCCTAGGGTTGTATCATGCTGCAATTATTTTAGCCGTGCAATTGACCATACATTGGTTTTCAGATTTTTTTGGCCTTTGAAATCACTTTGTAAAACCTTGTACATTAAGTTATTAATAGCCAAAATAAGTACTGTACTTTGAAAACTCAACTTTAAAAGGAGTAACCTATGTAGCAGAAAGAAAACTGAGACAAAAAAATTCAAAGTTTTTGCATAGTCCAACAATCAACATATTGAGGGCCAAAAATAGGCAATCCCTAAGTTACTCGGACTCTTCACTTTTGGTGCCGCACCCGTGTCGACATGATGTGGGTATGGGTGTGGGATCCGTGTCCGATTTAGTCAACCAATTTTGGGTACTTTGACCAAAATTAATGGGGAAAGTCTAGACAGTTTTAATGATTTCTATAATCAAATACAAAGCTAAGGTGAAATTGAAGAAAATGGAATACATTTTATATATAAATTTCTATGTCAATTCTTTTCCTTTAATTTCCTTCCAGGATTCTCCTCAAGTTCTCCACACAATATCTCATAAATTAGATTTTATACTTCTATTTTTAGATATTTTAATTATTTTTAGGAAAATCCCGTATCCATTACATGGATCCATATTCCTGAATCTGAAAAATTAAATCATGAAGGATCCGACCCGAGAAACTTAGGGTTATCCTACTAAACTGATGTGATTGAGATTTCTTTCCTGCCTTACTTTTTCTTCTTCTTCTTCTGGTGAACAGATGCTTGGTGAGACAAATCTAAGAATCCCAGAGAATTTACCAGCTGACCAGCAAATAGGAGGAATTATGAGAAGGTCTGGAAAGCAACCTGTAGTGCAGGAGCACAGAAACCAGCTGGGACTGCAGTCTTCAAATAAGGTTGGTCTTAGATCATAAAGACTGTCACAAGTAACTGGCTTATTTAAATGTCTTCAAATTTCATCAATATTTTAGCTGTACCAGAATTGAGGAAACATGTGCGCCCCTATTTGGCTTCTAATTTCTTTACATGTGTTCTGTATCAGAGTGGCATAAAGAGGAAAACTCCATTGAGTTCTCTGGAACCTGTAAGATCATTCTTCTGCATCTACTTCTTATGCCCTTCATGTGCTGGTGATTCTATTTCACTCTGTCGCTGATAGACATCATCGTTTTTGAGGATTGGACCACCCTTTCTTAGTTTGTTCTTGTCTTTGTCACCTTTATATTCACTTGGACGAATGCGTATGAAATGTCTATATGGTCTTCATCTGCTTTATTCTTGCTCATTTAATATATTCCTGAGTTGTAGGTTGGGAAAGAGAAAACTACTGTCGCTAGTTTTGCTGCGCCTGCACGCACTCAAGCTGAATGGAAAGGTAGGTGACAACAAGCTTAATGGTTCCTAAGAAGATTAATATTAAAAAGGTTGCAATTTATATAATCGACGGTTGACAGAAATAGTTAATCCTCCTTAAATAACTGGTGTCACATTTTGTTAGGTCCTATACTCGCCCAGCTAGGTTGTGTATCTACTCCTAATATGTTGAAGAAATAAATTATCCAAGAGAACCCAATCGTGCAGGTTTTATTAGCATTATACCCTGATTCGTTCTTCCAGGTGCCAGTAGTGTTTTAGGGACTATATTGGAAGCTTCATTGCACATATATGAAGGTATATGGTTGACCTTTGATATATGATATTTTTCTCTGTCATAAACCTCTTTTCTTTGAAGCAAGTAGTGTGTGTCAGCTTCTCACGGTGACAAATAGATGGTATCGTCTGTAAGGTTCTCTTGTAAAAATTTGCCAGATCTTACATTTGTTCAGTATAACTGTTTCTTAAAACGAAAGAAGACAAGAATGTGATGTCACACCAAGGTTTTAAGATTAAACACTGTAGCTTCTGACTTTGTCAGGCTCTTACCCTGATGGATAAATTGCTAGTTATCTCATATCGGCACAAAGGATAATTGACTTCATATTGCTTTGCAGGCAACTCTTTGAAAGCGATTAGCAACCTTCACACAAAAACTAGCAAGCTCCTATGTTGCCACTTCAATTCAGAAGGAGAGTTGTTGGCTGCTGCTGGACACGACAAGAAGGTTTGTCTAATTAATCTTCAACAGGATTCTAGTTGGTCAAATGGGAGAGTCCTTATCTCAATTTCACAAACTTGTACGCAATTTATGCTTAGGTACTGATTTGGAAGTTGGGAACTAACAATGTTTATAGTGGAGAAGGTCATGCTCATCACGTTACAGATATCCGTTTTAGACCACACTCAACAGTGTTTGCAACATCTTCCTTTGACAGAACTGTGAAGATATGGGATGCAGCCAAGGTACTATCTCTATTTGTCATTGCAGATCCTTTGGTCGAATGACTCTTTCAGTTACTTTTCTCTTAAGTTGTAACAGCTCACAAATAGCAGTCAGCACAGAGTCAAATCACCAGGATATATATTTATCAGTTCTATGATTTCGTTGTTCTTGGTCCACATGATTTCTTCTGATTTTTGTGCTGATATTATCCTGATTCTTTTGCTTGTACTTAGACGAGAACATATATATTTTCTTAGCTGCTCAGACAATTGTAATGTGACATTTATGGCCACATTCTTTATCTCTGTAGTAAGGATACTCAAAAGATTTATCGCAATTATACCAAATATCAGCATCATCATGTTATGTTATCTATAATACATTTCATTTGAGTCGATATTTGAGGACTTCCTGTTACTAAAACATCTTATGAAGTCTTTAGACCTTCAGAACCTTTTGTCTTTTCTTCTGGTTATCAGGATTTCTCACAAACTGACTAATCTCTTGAATTGGTACTTTTTGACCTGTGTCTATTACAACTTTGATACTGTACATATCTCACCATTTTGTCATTATCCAGCCAAGCAACCCTTTCCAAAACCTTGTCGGGCATGTTGAGCACGTAATGTCTACAGATTTTCATCCAACAAAGTTGGGCCTCCTCAGTTCTTGTGATACCAGCAACGACATTAGACTGTGGGATGTCAGTAGGGGTGAATGCAAACTCATTTTTAAGGTTGGTAGCTGTAGTTCCTTCCTTTTTTTTAAGATATTGATAAAGAGGTTTCTCTATTTGATAAAAGGCTCCATAATTTGATATTTAACTTCCTTTGATGCTTCCATTTCAATTTGGAGATTACTTAATTACTTGATTCTAAATCATTCTTGAATCTTTTTTTTCATGACTTCCTGCATTTGATTGTGGGAAATGTTTCTCTTTATTTTTTCTTCATTCTGAGCAATTTCAAGGTTTTCAAGATCAGTAGTTGGTCATCATGTGAATACACATACAAATACATAGTTAAGGAAATGAAAGGGTTTCATAATCTTATTTGAACCAACATCCGTATCACATTCAACAATGCATTGTTCATTGTTCTAAACAAAGTGGTTTACAAAGAATTTGCTATTATTCATTCACTGCAAAATTGTTTGATTAGTTCTTGGTACAAATGCAGGGAGGTAGTAGACACGTTAGATTTCAACCTCGACTTGGGGACTTTTTGGCAAGTTCTAGTGGAAATGTTATAAATATTTTTGATGTCGAAACTAGCAGCATCCAAAAAAAGTTACAAGTAAGATGCTTATTCTTGATCATTGATGCAACTTGTTTCAAAATTTCTTATCTGTTGCATTACCATATCGTATCAATGTGGTTTCGTTTTCTTTGATTTATAGGGACACGTCAAAGACATCCGCTCAATGTGCTGGCATATGAGTGGGAAATACCTGGCATCCGTGAGTGAAGATAGTGCACGGATATGGTCTGTGAGTGATGGGAAGTGTTTATATGAATTGTGCTCTGGTGGCAATAAGTTCCAGTCATGCACTTTCCACCCAGAATACATTCAAGTGTTGGTGATTGGTTCCTTTGAGGTATGGTTAATACAATGTGGACATTTATGCTGAAGCTTTTGAGCTCATAGAATTTAAAAACAACAAACCTAACTTAAGATGCTTGGATATTGAACCATCCTGAAAAAGAAAGAAAAAAACAAAGAACTTCTCTCTTGGTCAGCCAAAGCTAAGAGCTGGAAAAAGAATATTAGGAGGGTAAGAATATGCGACGTCTGACCCTTCGGGGTGGCCCAGTGGTTTGAGCTTGGGACTTCTATGTTGGAGGTCTCAAGTTTGAAACCCCTTGCCAGCGAAAGCAAGGGGTTTGCCTTCTGGGTCAAGCTCGTCGCACCAGGCTTGCCTAGTGCGGGTTACCTCTCCTATGTGGTTTGCGAGCTATTGCATAGGAGCGGGGGTTTTACCCTGTGCGCACCCAAAGGGTAGCGGCTGCGGGTTTCCCTTGTCATCAAAAAAAAAAAAGAATATGCGACGTCTGCAATTTTGGGTTCTGTTGCCATAATAATGTCTCAAAATGCTCATATTGTTATGAGGTTTGCTTCCGATTATTTTGCTATTTTTTCGTCTCAAGAAAGAAAATGATGATTGCATATTTTGATTTCATCTGAACATTTTTGGCTTTCCTACTTGTGTCTGATCATTCCACGGTGCTTAATAACTTCTTCGTTGAGGGAAATTCAGGAGTATAAGATCTCCAAACTGAGTTATTGGTGTGTCAGATGAAAGCGTACTTGTTTGAAGTTTATTCACATGTATAGTTGTTGATTTTCCTTTCTCCTTTTCCCTCTGTCTTATACCTGTCTAATGTTGTTGCAGTTCCTAGAGCTGTGGAATCCTTTCTGCCAGAGCAGTATAACTCAGTCATGTAGTGCACATACTGATATAATCACTTCACTAGCAGGTTCACCTTTGGATGGAACCATAGCTTCAGTGAGCCATGACCAGTGGATCAAGATATGGACCTGACGCTTCTTTGTGGATCAAGATACAACAGCCACCTTCTTCATTCTCTTATCCAAATTACATCACTATTTGAATGAATGAGTTGTTCGAAAGGCTGTATCAGTCACCAACTTTCGACATTTGTTTCAAACTCTTCTGCTCTATTTTATCATTTGGAAGTTGATAATTAATTATATGTATGAAAGCTAGGCTGTATCAGTCACTAAACCTCCTTGTTCTTGTTAAGCCACAAAACTTTCATAGAGCTTCTGCTACTTTTTGTTATTCATGATTGCTTTCCTCCTGAATGATTACATTGGTATCAAGTCCCTGAATTGGCAGTTTCCTTCTGATGCCTTGATCTTACAGTTCTGTTCATTTGATCGTTGGCAAACTATTCGTGAAATTGTCGAAGAAAATACTATTCCTCAAGTTGTGAAGTATAATTTCCATGTCTCATTGGTGTCATGCATTTTTCTTCCATGAGTGTCATCATCGACTCATCGTGAAGTATAGTTTCCACGGCTCATTGTATGTAATGCAGAAAGTGGAGGCAGATGAATTGAAAGAGGAGGCGGAGGCAGAGGCAGAGGCAAAGAGGTGGTGGAGGAGAAGGGGAAGGGGAGGTACAGAAGAAACTTTGGAGACTTGTAAAATTAATACCTCTCCAAAAAGAACTTGAGTCACCTACCTTCAAATAAAAGACTCAAATGTTAGCCTTAACTAAAGAACTCATTCAAATATGTCTACTCTTACGAGTGACTGGTTTGATGTAACAGGTGGTATTCTATAGAAAAAGGTTAGAAATTATTTCCCCTCCAAGGCCTTTTCAGTCGAGCTCAGTATACTAGACTTTCCTAGTGTGACTTACATTTCATGTGTGTACGAGCTTGTTATACCAAGCTTGTCTGGTATGATTTACATTTCACAGGTAGTTTGTAAGCTCGTATAAATGAGCGGGTTTACAAGTTTTCATTCATGATAAGAGGCCCAAAATTAGGCCCAAAGCGTACTTCTATCTGAACTTGGCCCATGTTCCTTCTTTATCCAAAGGATAAGATTACACTCTCTACATCTATTTCCTCTACTTCGCCATTGATACAAAAACAACAATGGCAGCGTCTTCTCTCTCCACCTTCTCTTCTCTCTCTCTACGCTCCCCATCTCGCTTTTCTCCTTTTCAATCCCAAACCCACCATACATTCTTCATCCCAAAACCCATCCTGTCACCATTTTATCTCCTCTTAAACCCAACAAAATTCGACCCCATTAAACCAAATTCCACAACTGCTGAAACCACTTTCTTTGACAACACAGACCCAGAGGAAATTTCCACTTATGACCCTCCAGAACGTCCTGAAGACTTTATAGAACCAGCATCTTTCGATGACGGTCCAATGGAGTCTGAAGAAGAAATTGCAAAAGCTTATGAAGAGCTTTATGGGGCAGCTTATAGCGGAGAGACTTTTCTTGGGAATGACATATATGCAATGGATTCTAAGGTGAAAAAGACTACTTCGTTTGGGAAAACCAAGAAGGAGAAGGCCAAAGATGGGTTTGACGAGAGAGTGGTGCAAGTTAGGAGAGTTACTAAGGTTGTTAAAGGTGGAAAGCAGTTGCATTTTAGAGCTGTTGTGGTTGTGGGTGATAAAAAAGGGCAAGTGGGTGTTGGAGTTGGTAAAGCTAAAGAGGTTATTGCTGCTGTGCAAAAGTCTGCCGTTAATGCTAGGAGGAATATAATTACTGTGCCTATGACTAAGTACTTGACTTTCCCCCACAGGTAAATGGTAAACTGTGTGATGTTCTCATTTTCTACAATGTGCTATCACTAGTTAAGTTTTGACATAATTGTACGATTTTTGTGTAGTTTTCAGCTAGTTTAGAGGCTTGAAAATCCATAAATTGAGCTACATGGTGGGAATTTTGGTTTGTAGACTCTGATCATCACTGTAGAACCAGAAATGCCAATGCATTTAACCACCAAATCTTTTAGTCTAAGTGGTACAGGCAGGAATTTTCTCTACATATTTCTGGGTCTCTCAGGTACTTTTTATGGTTGAGAATTAAGAGTAATAACCTAGAGATCTCCTGTTTGAATACCAATTATATCACTCAGTGCGAGCCCTTCTGCTCTAGCCTACCTAGGCATAGTTACTGGAACTTTTTTTTTGTGTGGACTGTAGCTGGTGCCTATGAATTAGTTGAGGTGCAGGAATTGCAGACCTCTATTCCAATGTCATTAAATATTATGAGAATTGAGGTCCATGTTATGCATTTGTTCAATTCAGTAAGGCTGCAAAAGCTACAGAAGTTCACTCCTCTAAGGTTGAGGGTATGGCTGATCAGTTTCTTATCTGTTACCTTTGCCATTTGAGTTGTTTCTTAGGATCAAACTGTTGCTAGAGTCGTACTTCGTATAGCATTATATGGCAAAGGTAGTATAGTGCCGACAAGTTTGAATCCTGTAGTGAACCAATTCTTGTAAGGTGAAGATGGATAGAGGTGTAGGGGGGAGAGGACATTATCTATGCGCTCAAAGATGCAAAACGACTGAATTATTCTGTTAAAAAAAAAGTAGAGTAGTTCTGCTTCCATATATTGATGATGCTGGATAGTTCTTTATTCTTCTTCTTCTTTGCCAAGGTAGTATAGTGCGGACAAGTTTGAATCCTGTGGTGAACTAATCCTAGTAAGGTGAAGAAGGATAGAAGTGTAGGGGGAGATGACATTATCTATGCACTCGAAGATGCAAAAAGACTGATTATTCAGTTAAATAAAGTAGAGTAGTTCCATTTCCATATATTGATGCTGCTGGATAGTTCTTTATTCTTCTTCTTCTTTTGAATAATTTTTGCATAGGTTTTTCATTGTGCCATGGTATTCTTGTGTAACCAAAAGTTGGCATGATCACAGATTTTCGTTCAGAAAAAGTCACCAATTTTAGTTGTGCCTCTTGACGATAAACTTAACCAATAAATGGAATTACAAAGAATCTTCTAGATCAGTTGTATATGGTTCTTGTCTTGGATATACTTGATTGATCTCTGTTCAAAAACTTTCTTATGTGGTTCGACCTTTCCTTTTATGGACTGAGCCAAAGACAACCAAATATAAAATTTCCATCTACCTGTGAACACTTTTGGAATCTCGCCGTCTCTACTCCTTTCACAGATTGAGCCAATTCTTTCACACCTCAACCACGGGTAGGATTTGACCCTGGTGTCCCATGAAGTTCACCCACTTCACTACCGCTAGGCAACACCCATGGGGACGGGTACAGACTGGGATGCTTGATAAGCTCTATATATTTTAAGCATCTGAAATTTAATTTTTTGTAATTGTATTATGGCGAACCTCTCATGTTGTTGACTGTATATCAAAAAATGAGATGTGCACAAGTGTGTGTTATTGGTCTCTGTGTTTGTTTTCATTGATTTAATAGGTGACAAAATGTACATGTCCACTATTTCATCTGTCTGAAATATGTGGAAGTCATAAAAATGATTGCTTCTCCTCTTCAACTTTAAGAAAGGATATTCAGTGAAAAAGTAAAAAAAGTAGTAACTTTTTGTAGATTTGTTTTGGTGTGTGTGTGTCACCATTTAGACGGATATGTTAGCAGGGAAAACTACTAAGTTTTGTAACATGAAGGAAATTCTGTAGATTTTTAACTAGATTGTCAGTCTAATAAATAAATAAGTTGGTCATTGGTGATTCTAGCCTATGCATCTGAAAGAGATCAATTTGATCTATCCTCACTTTTATTCCCTGATTGCATTATTAGCTGTCGATGTCTTTTTCTGAGTTTCTTTTGTGGGAGGGGAGGGTGATATCAGGAGTTCTTTTCTTTTCAAGTCTCTTTCCTTTTCTTTGGGTGGTGTTTGTTTTTGAAAATTCTTTTCTTTGAAGAATTGAGAAACATGGTAATGAAAGTTATGACTTAGCAGTGGTGTGCTATGTTTAATTATGTTGAAGACAGGCAGGCTATATATATTAGGATGTGTATTAACTATAGAGCTGAAGTTTGTTTCTTGTCATGGTTATCCTTGCATCTATTGCTAAATCTGGAGGAATGAAATGAGAGGCCTGGAGGGGATGGAATACGTTTATATGAGAAGTTTTTTTTATTCTCTGATCCTCTTTAATTTATTGTTGTCCTAGAGGGATGCACATATTTGCAGCCGTTTGATGAGAAAAACTGATTCGTCTAAAGGTTTTACCACATCTTGCCTTGAGGAAATCTTCTTTTAGCATTTGGCTTGCCATGTATGTAGACTGTAGTTGCAAAAATATTGATTGAATTAGGCAGCTCATTGTGAAAGAATTAGTACCTTGCTATTTGCAACCAATATGTTCAAATTTCAGTAGAGACGCAAGCTTTAGAAGATTTCTTTATATTTTTGTAAGTCTTAGTGGGTAGAGTTACTCGTACGTGTATTAGTTGAAGATAGCAGGTGGAATAGTGCCATTGTCCAAAAAGAAAGAAAAAAGAATCATGTTGATATTTGGTTTATAAGTTGGGGATCTAATATTGCTGAACAACTAAATTGCAGATCTGAGGGAGACTTTGGAGCAGCAAGGGTGATGCTTAGACCAGCAGCCCCTGGTACTGGAGTGATTGCTGGTGGTGCTGTGCGGATCGTTCTTGAAATGGCTGGTGTTGAGAATGCTTTGGGGAAGCAGCTTGGGAGTAACAATGCCCTCAACAATGCGAGAGCCACTGTTGTTGCTGTTCAGCAGATGAGGCAATTCAGTGAAGTTGCTCAAGAACGTGGCATTCCTATGGAAGAACTCTGGAAATGAAGACCTTCCTTTCTTCCCGTTGCTTTGATTTGTATCTTCAAGATTTTTGTAGAAAAAAAAAATGTTTCAACTGGGATAGCTGCAGATGTACCATTTAATTTTTCTGCAAGTGATTATTTGTTAATTATGTAAATTTCAAAATGCAGCCTTCTCAAACAGAATCTTTCTTCTATAAATTCATAAATTTAACACTAGTCGTCTACATCTCAACCTGGACCAATGTCACATTGGTAGGGGGGTCTAAAACATACTAGTACTATTCATCCATTTGGTATCTAGTTTTTCAAACATCCTCCATACTACCTAAGACACAATTTTTAGCACATTTTAACATTCTGTTCCATCTTTTAAAAACACGCTGAATATGATAGTAGTACTGTAGATATCTATCGGATAGTGATCAATGAAGTGACGTTGAGATAATACCTTTCATCCTAATCTCATCATCTACTGAAAAAGGGAGCCCACCTGAAGAGATTTTTGACGGTTCATTCCGTTCCACTGATGTGATCTTGCAAAATGGTATTTGTGCCAAGAACTAACGTGCGGCACGTGTCCAACCGTAGAAATTAAGTGGCACATAAACCTCTAAACGTGTCACTCTCAAGAGACCCCAACCCCCTTCCTTTATGAACCAAATTCTCAAGAATGTTGTGACTAAAAAGAGTTTACTAAAACCTTAGAATCATCTTCAGTCCTTTTTTCATCAACCAAAAAGAAAAAGTGTCCAAGCAAAAGCTGAAACAGAAGCATCAATGGCGTTTTTAAGCAAAAAATCTATCTTCAACCTCTCTAAAGCCTTCCCACATCGAGCCTCCTCTGTCTTCATTGGTCGTCAAATATGGAAGGTTAGTCATCCTACATATATATATATATACTAGATGTACCACTAAATATAATGAACAAGCCATAAATCCATCCAGAATTTGAAATTAATCAAATTTACATACATTTATAATTGAATCCACATTTATTTATAAAATATAAAAATTATTTTTTGTAACAGAGAAGTTCTCAATTTATCTTTTAATTTAAAGTTTGTTGCATGAAATTACCTACCTTACTAATTGTTGAAGCCGTGAAACAAAAACATGCTTAATTATTATATATATGTTAAAATACTACTACTCATGTATTAAAGGGAGGATATGTTGCTGCAACAGAGGAGGCGTGGGAACAACAGAGCAGGAAGTTGTACGGGACCGATAGTGATGAAACGGGTGGTAAAGTATCTGAAACGGCTGCTGATAAGGCGAAAGAAGTGAAGGATAAAGCCACTAAAACAACTCAAGATGCATGGAAAGCAATTGAGGATACTGCTCAAGAGTTGAAAGAAAAAGTGGTGGGAAATATAGATCCAGAGAATGTTCAAGAGGAAGATGAGAAAGAGCTTAAGAAGAAGTTGGCTAAAGAAGCAGGAGGAAAGCCTGTGGATGAAGATAAAGGTTTGAATGTCAATTGGAGACCCATTGTTGAGAAGAAACCACAACCCTCTTGAAAATCATTTTCTCTTTGGTTTTTTTTTTTAGAATAATGAAGTACAATGGACTAGCTAGCTTGAACTTTGTAATCTACTTCTACTAGCCTAGATTGAATGAATAATCAGAGCACTGATCATACTTTGCAAAGCTTCTTCTTTTTTTCATAGTATTATCCACAATCCTCTATTTTATCAAAACGATATCTGACTATGTTTTCGATCTTAAAGGTCGTTTTAGATCATAAATTTCAAGTCAGGTTTTTTTTTTTTCAAATTTATGTCAAATTAAATGATTTCACATAATTAATAAAAAATTAATGAGGGATCGGAGTAATGAGAAGCTAATGCAAGCCTGGAGGAGTTCAGTGTTTTGTATGAATGATATAAAATTTAGCCAGGATAAATTTCATACAACATATTCAAATCAGACTCCGTGTCACAATTGTAAAAAGTCTAGGGGTCTACCTTTTTGATAGAAGATTGTAATAAGATAAGATTTGATTTGATATTTACGATAAATTATGTTTATCGATGTCCATATATTTTTCTAGTCTCAGTTGTATATAACTTTAATCTACTCGATCGTTAATAATATTTTAAGATGCATTTTTCGGGATTTAATGCGTTATTGTGGCGAGTTGCACGGGTAGTGTATCTGTATGATAAATTTTGTTGTTCTGGATGTAGAGTTTGCTCTAATGCGATTGAAAGCATCTGTATGATAAATTTTAGTTGTTCTAAATATATGATAAATTTCACTATTCTGGATGGATGCTTATTTTTTAAATCGTATTATAATTTATAGATACGCCTATGCATAGGGAGGGGCAATTTTTTTATTTTGAGACAGTAGGTCCTCAATACCAGCTCTTTTAATTAGAGTTAAAATATTAATCGAGTTGATAATTCAAAACACAAAACTCATGAGCTTCTTCTTAAATTCTAAGAAGTTAAAGAGCTTAAAAATAAAATCTTAGTCTTTAGTTTCTTTTTCTTTCATTTTAATAAGTTAGTTTATAAACTTCTCTTCTTTTATTTTATTTTTCGATGAAACAGTTCTCGTTAGCTTTTTAGTCAATTACTAATTCTCAACTCAACTCGGGATGACAATATGTTTTTGGCCATTTAGCATTATCTTTTTATTTATAAGAAAAGCATTACGTGTACGAAATATTTAGATAAACCGTATTTTTATTAATTCTATAATTATGTTTCACTCACTTGCAGAAAAAAGAGACGTAAAGCTAAAAATTGTGTTTTACATCAACTGTGGCAATCTCTTGTAAAAAAAAAAGTAAAGGAAAAGATAATGTCAATTGCATCTGTGTGTAACACCAATCACAACTTGTGCGTCGTGTAACAATTTTGAATATGTTCACTACACGTGGCGTTTACAATCAAACGTGTCATACTGTAACGACGACACCAATTTCTTTTATCTTTTGCAAGTTTGCCACTATAACATCAAAGCCAGATTGCCGAATGAAAGAAGCAACTTGTGCAAACTGTAACAGAGAAACTGCAAGAAATCACATTCACGAAAAAGAAAAAGAAAAATTACTCGTTTTTGTGATAGCAACCAAAGAATGGCAGCGATGTCAATCACAAAAAACGCCATTTTGAACTTGTCAAAGTCACTTCCTCGAACCTCTTCTCTTTTCCTCCGCCGTAATGTCTCCTTCTTCTACCCTTTGAAGACTATTCCTCAAACAACATCTCTTGTTATTCGTCACAAAATATGCTTCTCCTCTTCCCCTAATCATTCTGAGGTAATATTGTACTAGTATATTTTTGTTGCCTTCATTTCATTTTGGATTTATTAATTTACATATGTTCTGACTGTAACGTAAAGTAAGATATTATGCACATCCTCGAATTCATCAGTTAAAATAAAATGAATTAGTTCCACTTCGGATCATAAAATATACCCCCTCGGTTTCGATTTGTTTGTTCTGTTTTAAACTACTTGACACGGGCTAAGAATTTAAATTAAAAATATGTTAAATTGTACCAAATATTTTTTTCAATTTTGTGGTCTTAGACAAACAAATTGAGCGGGGAGAATATTTGTTCAAATTGCTAGTTCATTGTAATAGACGGTTGACATTGTTTTTACATTTTTAAACTTTGGATTTATAAGTTATATAGCCTCCAACGATGTGTTTTACATGTTATATAGCACGTTACTTTTGACATTTATTCTTTGTTAAGAATCAACTCTAAATAGATCTAGTCACTTGCAATTACTTTTGAATCTGGTCGTACAAACATATTGTTTACGCTGATAAATTTAACTTATTTTGTTTGTAGCGATAAAGAAATTACTCAAGCCACCTCTCAAGTGGTCTAATTATGTAAAAATATTGTTAGGAACTGAGATCTTCCTTTTTAGTGTTTTGCCAACTTGCTACAAAAATCGGTTAACAACTTCAGATTAGTAATCAAATTTATTAAAAATGGTGGCGGAACAATAATGCTTTTCATTTTATGTTTGAAGGATTTCAATATTGTATGGGATTCTACTGGATATGTCAAAATGTTTTTCATTTATGTTTCAAGGGATTCCATGCATCGGAGTCGGAGGACTTAAAAAGAAGACAAGACTTCGATAGAGGTGTTAAAGATGATAAATCTCCTATGAGGGAGATGGCTGATAAAACAAAAGACGATATGAAAGAGTCCATGGACGAAACTAAGCGTACAGCCAAAGACATGAAAGATAAAACAAAGCAAAGCGCGGAGAACATGAAAGACAAAACAAACGATATGGCTGCAAAGGCAGCCGATAAAGCAAAAGAAGGGAAAGACAAGGCAGCCGAAATGGCACATGACACTAAAGAGAGTGCAAAAGAGCGAGCCCACGACATGAAGGAGAAGACTAAGGACACTGCAGAGGCCATGGCTGATAAGACGAAAGAAGGGGGAAGCAAAGTTGCGGAGACGGCACAGGCAATAGCTGATAAAGCTAAGCAAGCAATGCAGGATGCCATGGGAGCAGCGAAAGAGACGACTCAGAAGATTAAGGAAACTGTTGTTGGTTCGGCGGAGGATGATCAGAAGTCAGTTGATGATTATATCGAAGATCGTACGGGTAAGCGGAAGGAAGATACGATGGATGAAGATGTGGTGGAGCAGAGGAAGCGTGCAGGGGGTTCTGGTGATCCTAAGAAATTTTGAGCAACAGGAATTTGAATAATTTAGTGAAAAAGGTTTTTTTGCTAATATGTTGCACAACTTATTTCCTTTTTGCTTATTTGTATACAAGCATGAACATCTTCTAATGTCAGTTTTTTTTTAAGTTTGAATTTGCTTCCCCCAACCCCACGGGCGATATTTTCATGAACACACAAATTTATAATTTCCAAACGGCATCTAAGATATCCTCTTAAAGCTGAAATAGGAAAGGGAAGATTATGGAAGAGGCAAGTGGACATTAACATTATTTTCTTAAAAGGTGAAATAGGAAAGGGGAGATTATGGAAGAGGAAAATGGACATTAAGATAATTAGATAATTTTCTTAAAGGTATAGGAAAGGGAAGATTATAGAAGAGGAGAATGGACATTAAGATTATTTTCTTAAAGGTGAAATCGGAAAGGGAAGATTATTGGAAGAGGAAAAAAGGCATTAAGTTTATTTTCTTACAAGATTATTTTCTTAAAGGTGAAATAGGAAAGGGAAGATTATTGGAAGAGGAAAGAAGACATTAGGTTTATTTTCACTTAATTGTTTCAGTATCGTATTATATTTTATTGTATTGTATCCTATTGTATTGTTTTAATGAATGATAGATTGTATTATTTTCCATATTTGTATTGTATCGTATTGTATTGTTTTAATGAATGATAGATTGTATCATTCTCCGTTGTTACATTATCTATAATAGATAGTATCGTTCTCCGTCGTTACATAATGTCATGTTTTATAATGTATCGTATTAAATTGTATTGTATCATACTTTATTTTAATGAAGGACAGATTGTATCGTTCTCCATTGTTATTTAATGTCAATGATAAAGTGGGATACAAGTAGAGTTACTATAAAAGGTAGGCTAGAAGATAAATATGATTGTTAGGTACCATAAAAGAAGAAATGTGAAGAAATGTGATATGATAAAGTGGGATACAAGTAGAGTTACTATAAAAGGTAGGCCAGAAGATAAATATGATTTTTAGATACAATAAAAGAAGAAATGTGATTATTTAATAATAAATAAAAATAAAATGAGAAGAAAATATTAAGATAACAATGTGATTTAATTAGTTATATAAAATGTGTTTTTTCATTGTTACTTAACAATGGATTTAAATGATACGATACAATAGAATTTAATTAACAATTTAAATAAATATTATATTTAAACTAACAACACAATATAACTATTCAAACGAAGTGTTAAGAATCGTTATTTGGGGACAACTTCGATAGGTTTACTCACCTAATCTCCAAGTAAAATTCATACGAATTTGTATCTTTGTAGGCTATATATAAACGTCATCGATCTCGATATATTGGTTGTGACTTGTGAACTCCTATCTTTCAAAAGAAAAAAATGAAGATAGGCCCAGTAGTGTTGGGCCTTAACAAAATGTTGTGGTGACATCAAGTGTGTTTGGAAATGATAAATTTTCGGGAAAATTGTATATAATAGCAAACTAGTAATTCAAATTAAATGTTATAACCATAGTTTGATTTAATTATACCCCATAGCAAACTGTTGCTACTTTGCCTCTCTCCAGGTGAATCTCGCTCGCCACTATCGTTCTCTCCCTCACCTCTCTCGCTTTTATACAAACGCAAATGTATAAAATGCGTTTGTGTTTGTATAAAGCGAGAGAAAATTGTATATATATATTTTTTTTTCGTTCCCCTCTCCCAAATCTCGCTCACCACTCTCCAGATCTCACTCGCCTCTCTCACTTTATACAAAAATGCATTTGTATTTGTATAAAGCGAGAGAAAATTGTATATACATATATTTTCGTTCCCCTCTCCCAGATCTCGCTCGCTCACTCGCCTCTCTCACTTTATACAAAAAACGCAAATGTATAAAATGAGTTTGTATTTGTATAAAGCGAGAGAAAATTGTATATACAAATACAAATGCATATATTTTCGTCCTATACACTTATGCTTATACAAATACGATCTTCCCTTGTCCAGTTTTCTTTTGTCTCTCTCTCTTTCTCGCTTTATACAAACACAACCAAAGCAGATTATACAACTGCTTTCTTTTGTATATGTATAGCGAAATTATACAACTGCTTTCTTTTGTATATGTATAGCGAAATTATACAACTGCTTTCTTTTGTATATGTATAGCGAAATATACATATTTATCTTTGCTATGGAGCGCAACTATGCAAACTATAGCTATAGCACACAAATATGATTTTTATGTTTGCTATATGTGAAAGTTACTCTAAATTTTCTCTTTCTTTTTAGTTAATTCAAATGTAATCATGTGATAACGAAAAATGACTTCAAATCTTAACCCCTAGTGCCATCCAAGCAGGGTCTATTATAGTCAATTAGCAACCTCTACAAATAGTCATTATCCACGTCTAGGAATAGTATAGTTACTTATAAATGAATATATATGATTCATTGAAGATACGGCGTAGGTATATAAATATATATATTATAACTAGAAGAGTGCTTATCTCAATATTTTCTCACAACATATGTAAATAAGGAGTATGGGCTGTATTTGTATGGTTTTGGGGGCAGTTGTAATTTCCATTGGCTTCTAGCACCACATCCATAGCTCCGACAACAATAAAGCTATGCATCATGTCACGTGCCTCACCTAAGTGCCACATCGATTTAAATTCGAATGGATCGTTGATTTGTCTAATTATAAATTCAATACATTTTGATTCGTCTGATTCAATCTAGCTAAAAGTTGAGTTTATATAACTCAAATTAATTCATAAGAATTTGGACAAAAGATTTTTTATGCGTGATGTATTATTTAGTAACAATAATAATAATTAAAAATAAAATAGAATTAGGTACATAACAAATTATAAGCAATCAAATAATAAAACTAAAACTTAGTGTGAATTGAGTTAGTTAAATTGTGATCCATTTGTTAGTTCATTCAACCCAAGTACTTTGTTTTAGCTAGCGGATCATTATTATACATGTATTAACTTGAATCAGCATACACTCACATTAAGTTCAACCCGCATACTTAACCTCCCTAATTAATATAATTATGTGTAAGTTAGAATCCCGTTCGATCTGTTTCATTTTATGAGTATAAATTTAAATGGACACAAGGGCAAAAGATTGAGAAATATAATTTTAATAACTTTATAAATTTGAGTTTAAAATGCGTATATATAATATAATTTTTTTAAAAAAATGATAAGGTCTTTCGTTATGTTATTTGTGATTAACTTACTGCTAAATATACCCTTGAAATTACATGAAAAAGTTTTTTCAGAATTATATTAAATATATTACTTAATAAAAATAATTTATTATCTGTTCTGATACCCAATCAGAACAATTTGTAACTTAAATATCTAAAGCTTAAGATATTATAGATTTATCAAATCTTTACTAAAACATCTTAAGACACATAACAAGGAACTCTCCACAAATGAGAAAAGAGCGAACTTTTCCCCAAGTTATTAATAAGAGAGAAATATTGAATCATTTTTGAACTATCGATTACCTTAAATTATTCATTTACTTGATTAGTTACTTTGACACACCCTCGATATGGCAATATGAGTGAATTACATCCCTAAATTATCTTAAGTTTAAACGTGTTTTCAACACTTCTCTTAACTTTTTATGAGCTTGAGATTATTTGTTATGTTATATAGTAAATTGATGAAATATCCAAGTTAAGTTAGTTAAAATAATATATATTTTTAAGACTATCAATAATTCAAAAACAATACTAATACTAATAATTTGCATGAAATCAATCTAGTTGCCTTGGGTAATTTATGTCAAGTCAATCGAGTTGCCAATTTCGGTGTCAATAATCTTATGAACCATAGTCGTGGGTATACCAGTCTGTTTAATACTCTCTTTGTCCACTCCACTTTTAATTGTCATGATTTTTTTTTTTTAGAGCAAATCATAAGAACTTTGACTAACATTTTACGGTATATTTTTCATCATATTGATATGCAAGAAATTGCAATTTATAATACTTTTAGTAGAGTTTTTGAATATCTAAATTTTATATTAATCATAAGAACTTTGACTAACATTTTACGGTATATTTTTTATCATATTGATATGCAAGAAATTGCAATTTATAGTACTTTTAGTAGAGTTTTTGAATATCTAAATTTTATATTTAAAATATCAAATTAATATAATCTAATTTAATTTTAAAAATTAATCAAATTAACTTTTAAAAATCACAACATGACAAAGTGACGGATATAGTAAAGCATGAACATGTCAGAGTTACAAGTGAGAGAAAGAAATTAAAAAACTAAAGTGGAGAATCAAAAATGACTAATAAGCTGACACAGCTACACAACCCATTTGATATAACAATTAACCGCCAGATCCTCCACCTCCTGCCGGCGCCGGCGCGGCCTCAATTCCTCCCCTAGTGGTCCACATACACCTATTGCTACTGTATTTGTATGTGTCATTGATCACTTAGCTTGTCCATATTTAAATTTTCTCCCCTTTACTTTTTGATTGAGTCGAAGCAAAATTAATTTTGTCGTTATTTGGGGAAATTCTTGTCTGCTCAGAAGTTTGTTGAACTGAAAATTATGGCTTCTTTCCTTTATTTGTTGAGACGAGATTGAACACAGACGTAACAGAAATACAACATAAACCATACCTCTTCGTTCGGTCCCATCTCAGTATTCTCTTCACTTTAACTGAACATTCATATGTAGCCACGCACGCCTCTTACACCACCACCCCCCCCCCTCCCCTACGCCAACCCCAGCCCTTTTTTTTCTTCTAAACTTATCTAAGCTAAAGATAAAAAGACTAGTAAAACTCTGTCTTCCCGTACACTATAATTATTTTATGAAGATTAACCATAAAAAGGCAGGCAGGTGGTGGTAGTTATTATTAATTTCCTTATATATGTCTTTTTTTAACTCTATTTTCCTCATTTACAAAAGTGTAATTATCTACTAGTAGGATTTTTATAGAAATTCTCATGCTCTTCAATTTTTAGTTCCTTATATATATGATTAGATAATCTCAACTGAAGCATTGACTGTATAAACGTTGACGAGAAGTTTGAGATTTAATTACAATCATATCTCTAGGAGTGGAAGGGGGTTGAGAGGTTTGACTTGCATGCGTGTGCATTTACTTAATCTGAATTTGTGATCTGTAGAAGAAGAAGAAGAGAAGTTTCACTATAAAAACTTGTTGAAATTAGTTTCTTTTCTCCATCAAGGAAAAAGGCAAAAAGAGTGAGATGGAGGATCAATTAGGTGGAAGATCATCGGGAGAAAATGATCGGAATCGAAGAATGAAGATGCCGGAAAACAACTCATCTTCTCCGGCACAACCACCGCAGCCACCACTGCAGAAATGCCCTCGTTGTGATTCAAACAACACAAAGTTTTGCTACTACAACAACTACAGTTTGACTCAACCTCGCTATTTCTGCAAGACGTGTAGGAGGTACTGGACTCAAGGTGGAACCCTAAGGAACGTCCCCGTCGGCGGTGGTTGCCGTAAAGGTAAACGCACAATGAAGGGCGGTGGTTCATCTTCATCAGCTGGTGAAAGTTCATCTAGATCTCATCATCAGATACTACATCCGCCGCAGATACCGAATTTATCAGCTGCTTTTTTCTCAGGTAACAATCCAAGATCTCAACCGCCGCCACTTCCGTCAATGAGTTCTCTGTATACCGGTGGTGGTGGTGGAGGATTTTTATCTTCTTTAGCTGCCATGCAATCAATGAGTCAATTATCACAAGGTATCAATAATCAATCTCAGCTTGGGCTAATTTCAGGCAGCAATAATAATAACAATCAATTTGGTAATTTCAATATTCCAACTCCTCCTCCTCCTAAGGTTCAAATCAGTCAACAAATGGAAAGTACTGGATTTTACCAAAAGCCCAATTTGGAATCATCTTTTTACCCATCTGATCAAACGTTGCAGTTTCAACCTACAAGGCCTTTGGGTTCATGGACACAAAGGTTCATCAACAACAACAACAATAATATTTGGCCGAATAGCTCAGCCAGTAGCAGCGGAGCTGCTACTGATAGCAGTTCCGCTGCTGGTGCATCTCTTGGCCCAAATGATCATCAGTGGCCCGATCTTCCAGGGTTCGGCCCATCTCCATGAGATTTTATAGGGTTTCTTCGCTTTATTTTAAAGATTTTCCTCAACTTTGATCTATCTTCATCAAGAGGAAATTAATGGGAGATTCAATGGTAATTAAGGTTCTTTAATCTCTGCGCTTTTTTAGTAAAACGCAGAAAATATAATACAAAGAGACATGAAGGGGGGAAAAAAGGGGTTAACCTTAGCTTAGCTAGCTAAAATTATTGTATGATGTATTTACCTTCTTATAGAGAAATTCTGGATTGGGTTAGGTTTGTATTTTTCAAACTTTTGATCTAAAAAGTTAAATGTGTTTGTATGTTATTAGAGCCTTATCTTTTTCTCCTCTTTTTTGTTCCTTTAATTCAGCTTTATTAATGTTTTACTCTATCAGTTACGTAGTTCAAAAAGCAAGAAAAAAAAACACTTGCTTTTTTGCTTTGTTATATTTTTAGGGTTTATAGAGTGTGAAAAAGTCTATAAAAAGGAAACAACCATATGTAAAGAGAGAATGTTAATTAGTATTTGCATGGAGATGATAGATTGGTGGTGAGTTCATCTCTTTGGCAAAAAAGTGATATAGACAACTTGGCTCCTCTCTACCTTTTTTGCATGTGCCCTCCTAAACCTTCATTTATTTTATTTTTCCAATCATATTAATCATATTTACGGGTTCGGTAGAATTTACTGTACAACTTTAAATTTAAATTTTGAATTCGCCGCTTAATTCTCACCACCTCACACGAACCAGCACTATAAAATGTCTCTTTTATGTAGAAGCTGTAGAGGGGTTGGTCGCTAATTCCATCTAGAACATATATATATAAATGAACTTGCATGCATAATCATTTTAATTTGTTGATATATTACAAGACCTAATGGCTTATTCAATGGAATGATTTAGGAGTTGTATTAATGTGGCAACTGGCAAGTTTCAATTCCTAAAGTTCTTTAGCTTGGGCTACTATATATATATATATTCTGCATTAATTTGACATATTAGAATATGCCATAGCCTAGTTAGTTACATATACAGTAGTTAATAAGGAGTATAGTTGTACTGGTTTGAATATTTAATTCATAATGGCATGATGAATTGAAAGCAACACGCACACATTCCCTTTTGAAATCATCAAATGGATTTGGTAGATGGGGAAGAGGGTGGGCATACCTGAACCAAAAAATAAAGTTGGACACGTCAGCTATGCACCTTTGAGTTTTTTATTTTAAAAAAAAACAAGTGTTACTCCAATCCTTTTATTTTAACTTGACACAAATTTTAATAAAATAATTTTATTAAACTGAATATACGTAGGGTGTATCAACATGTTCTTCAATCTTATGATCTTAAAAATATGTTATATGACAAATTAAAATGAAACCAAGAGAAAAGTATTTAAAAGCACGTTAGATTAAATTAATAAAGTTAGTTAGAAGTACATGATGAATAAAGAAAGATAAAAGTAGTAATTTAATTTAGGGCTGCGGTTTTCGAGCAAAGGCATATCTTTGGTCTGCCATGGGTTTAGATCTTCATCAGAGAATATTGGCAGGTTGGAAATGAAAATCTCTTGGGTCTAATTAAGACTTCTTCCCTATGGGATGATCAAATCTGTTGGGAGAATAACCCTAACAAATTTATTTATTATTTTAGTTTTACGTTAGTATTATATTATATTAAAACAAAAAAAAAAAATTCTCTGACTAACCACTATGGTTTCCTCCTATTCGAGGATGATTATATATAAACATGGTCATTATACTTTCTAATGCAAACATATTACTCCTTTTAATGATATTATGTTTTTCGTTTACCCACCTCTTAAGAAACTTTAATCAACAAGGATTTTTTACTATTTTACAGTTATTGTTTCTTAAGATATCATTTCTCTTCATTAAATATTTACTCTACTGATTTATTTATAGTATTAGAAAACAATTATTATACTAAGGATAAAATGGAGAAAGACAATTAATATCTTCTTGAACTATTGAAATGACAAATAATGGGAGATAATTATTTTTAGAAATCGGGATAAAATATAATTTAAGATGAAAGAAATAGATAATCTTTTTGTCTATCGAAGTTATAATAAATAAAATTATTCGATATTTATGCTAATAAAATATAGGAAATATGTCATAAAAATAATTACAATACGCAACCTAATTCGAACACTAAAATTATGGTAGTTTTTATTCGCAAGTAGGATACTCCACTATTTGAGGATCCTATAATTAAATTGCATGATAGGACTACAGGAAATACTCCACTAGCTGTTAAATTTGATTTATCAAAAAGTTTGGAATATTTTTAAATATTTGTAGGTTTTAGAGGCGGCAAAACTAGCTTAGAAAATATAACTTGTCCAATTCATTCATTTTTGACGGTTTATTGATTCTCTTATTTATTAATTCAATTTATTTAAATTAATTTATTTCAGTTAATTAAAAATTAGATTGATATATAGTTCAAATTGACTCATAAAAAAAATGTCAATTCTTTTTAATAAGATATCTTTTGTTTGATATGTTATAAATCGTTATAATAAAAAAAATGTTAAAAATAAAAAGAGAATAAACAAAGCAAAAAAACAATAAAAATTGGATGACTTGTTATGATCTACATTTCAGCCTATGTAATTTTTAAATGTGCCAGTAACTCGCTCATCATTAAATTAACTAATTTTGATTGTTCTGAATTTCACCCAAACCATCCATTTTTACCTCCAACGTGAAATAAATAAACTTGCCGAATACGATGACTCAAAATTAAGTTGATCGGACGTGCTTAATTTGAAAGACAATTTCTCTGCAGTTCAATTGTAAAAACTTAATAGCTCAATTGGTCGACTACTTAAACGTTCGTAAGAGTTCGATTATCTATCTTTTTATCCCTTCCCTATTTTCCCTTCATCTACCTCTATTTTTTTTATTTAAAAAAATCTAGATATAAGGTACAAGTTCGGTATAATTCACTAATTTAATTTGGTTCAAATCCTATATATTTGGATAAAAGTTCACTGAACAAATATGTACCCATAATAAGTTTAGTATTCATACATTTTAAAATTTGAATCTGCTATTTTAATTAAGTTTTATAAGGGAATAATTAGTTCTGAATTTTTTTGCTGGGAAACAAAAATGTTCAATAAGTTATTATTAATATTAAAAAATTCACAAAACTGATTGCTACGAGTTATAAACTTCTAATGCAACTATAAATGAGATGTCTAAAAGAGTAAAACGGTTATAAATGCTGCTTCTCTGTCGAAGTCAAACTGCCACAGAATGAAATACACATAATAGATTGTATTAAAGTTAGTTAAATAATATAAAGTATCACAGCAAGTCTTAAATTTAAATGTAAAATTTAAAATTTTGAGAAAAATGTATAAAATATGTAGTGGATTTATATCAACGGTAACTTTCAAAATAAAAGGTATTTATTTTAAGTAAATAATTTGGAACAAATTAAGTACTCCCTCCATTTCATTTTACTTGGTCCTATACAAAATTTGATGTTTTATTTTGTTAGTTCATTTTAGCAAAAAGAGAATTTTATTACATTAAATTTTTCCATACTATACCCTCGGTATTTAAAATTATATAACATAGTAGTAGTTAGATTTAGAGCTTCACCAACTCCTTCATCCTTAACCCCAAGAAGTCTCGGGTTAGAGCCCCCTTGGATACGGAATCGTCTTTGTTAGGAAGCGCTTTATCCCTCAATGTGGGACTTTCCGGCGCGAATCTGAATTTAGTCGAGCTCCAATGTGGATAACCGAACACCAGATGAAAAACCAAAAAAAAAAGATTTAGAGTTTCATAACATTATTAATAAAATAAGATACACTTCTAGTTAAATTTTTCTTAAGAAATATATCAGGTCAACAAGGACCAAGTAAAATAAAAAACAGAGGAAATATTTCAGATCGTTATTGTCATTTGAATATGATAGATAACAATGTTTTAAAAGGCGGGGGCTCATAACACTATTAATAAAATAAAATACACTTCTAGTTAAATTTTTCTTAAGAAATATATCAGGTCAACAGGGACCAAGTAAAATAAAACAGAGGAAATATTTCAGATCATTATTGTCATTTGAATATGATAGATAACAATGTTTTAAAAGGCGGGGGCGTGAGGCGAGGCGTTTTATACAGTACGGGGCGAGACGTAAGCCCTCAGACATGGGGCGTAAGTCCCATAGATCTACGGGGCGTAATCTCATGTATATTCAATTTTATAGTTTTATTACTAATAAATAAGCAAAAGTAAGTTTTTCAGTGATTTTACAAATAATTTTTTATAAATAACCTATAATATGTAGAATTTATATTATGATTTTATTTGAGATAAGTACTAATAATCAATAATGAAGAAAAAAAGTATTATAATTATTATTTGAGAAATATTATTACACCAATGATAAAAAAAAAAATGATTTAAAGCAAAAAAATTCAAAAAATAAATAAAAAACGCCCGAACATACGTTTTTATGCCCAGAACTTACGTTTTTATGCTCGGAACTTACGCCTCAAATTTTAGGACTTACGCCTTATGAATCTACGTCTTCAATTTACGGCCCGGAACATTTTTGATACGCCCCACTTCGAGACTCGCCTGGGGACTCGCCCCAAAAAAGTTTTTGAAACCACCGATAGATAATATCTGCAAATGCACTTTGCTACTCCAAAATTTAACTAATCTTTCTCTTTATGCAGGATAATCGTGTTTTTAATTGCTTGTTTAAAAAAATCAAGTTTCAAACGTCATCGTTTTACTAATAAAATGATTGGTTCTCGGCAAGGAATACTCTTTGGTACACTTAACTTGGGTGACATGACGATCAAAGGGTGTAATGATATATATTTTAATCGATCCTATTTTTTTTCATCCAAAAATTCGATTTCGACCCAAGAAAATAAACACATTAACATAATTTCAGTGATTATTTATCCTAAGATTATATTTCCTACATCTTAATTGTTGATTAATTTTGTTAGTAAGTCATAACTAGTTAGAGTTATGTGAGTATTAGTAATATAAGAATTACTTATGAGGGATTTTATGTATTATTTTATGCGGATAATAGTTATTCAAGGGTTATACGTGTACAAATGTACTTTAGTTATGCAAGATTATACATGTATTAGTTGTGCAGATTCTTAAATTGTCAACCAAACATGAGATTGATTTTATACATAAATAACTTATTTCTTATCTATCTACCAAACGTCATACAAATTATATAAAAATTAATATATGAATAATTTTTTTCTTATCCAACTACCAAACGACCTCTAATGGTGCACAAC